GGACAACCTTGAGGGCGTGAGCACGGCCCTTAGACTTACGCTTCACGCTGCCGGAAATCCGCACACTATTGCTACCAAACAAACAAGTAAAAGATCATAAATCGAGGTCGGAAAACGAAATTCAAAATTGAGGTTGAGCACGACTTACCGAGTTCGGAGTTTGGCCTTGAAGCTTCGATCGGACGCACCAAGGGGTTGTAATCTAACAACCAGAAGTCAAGAAGCAGTTTGTTGGTCACCAGGGTTCCGATCTTCCTGCCCTTTGGAAAGCTATCCTTGTAATACTTAAGAGTATCAAAGGATGCTTGAGTGAGCTCGGGAATTGGTCTGATTGACACTACACGAGACAAAGAAGAGTTCGAGTTAGATATGAGAAGCAAGAGAGTTAAAGAACTTAAAACTACGAAAAGAAAACACGAACGACCTCATACCTAAATTCCCAAACCTAACGGGAACGTCAAAGAATAGATGACCAGACTCGTCCTTTGCCAGCCATTCTCTAGAGGCAAAGAACCACTTCCTCACCCATCCTTTGATGGAGGTCAGCCTCTTAACTATTCCACCTGTGCCTTTCATTGCGCACATAAGAAGCTGTTCAATGTTCAGCAACTCGGCCTCGTCCTCGTCCCGAGCACGTAACCAGAAGAGGATGGCCAAGCAAAAATGACACCCCATCCATTGGGGGCCACTTGAGCAGGAGCCAGTCCAGATCGGTTTAGGAACTCCTGGGCAAAAGGGTGAAGAGGAAGTCTGAGGCCGAGTGACCCACCCCTCTTGAGGGTTGTCAGATCTTTCCCTTCCTCCGGAATTCTAAGGAGGATGTCATCCGGAATTTTAAACCCCCTACGGAGGGGTCCGAGATAGTGCTCGGGCATTTTTGAAGGGTATTCCAAACCCTAGCCCGAGGTGGAAGCGTCACTGTCTTCTCCATCGTCGGAAAACCTAAAATTCTCAACCTTTTCCAGTTCGGACTCTAACATACGAGCTAAGTCCTCCCCAGAATAACTTGGCTGAGTGGGCGAACTGCTTATAGTCCGACCTGCGCTACCTAAGCTACCACTATTGGAAGAAAACGACATGAAAACTACCATAGTTGAAGATAAGAATTAAAGCAAGGAAAACTACTGACCTACAGAGGGTTCGAACTAATTTCAGGTCGAACTCTGGAAATTCAGGAAGCATAAGGTCTGACTTGAAGACTGGGAGCTATTTATAGCAAATCGGGAAAGTCTCTGCACCGTACACATGTAACAAATGAGCGGCTGGGATCGTCTCGGAATTTCTAACGTCGGAATACTTGAGTGCTCCAACAGCCTGTCAGGCCGGAACGTATTCCGCTTCCACAACGGTCATATTCGCACCGCGAACCAGAAGTCGCCACGTGTCCTAATTTGAACCAAATAACTTCTCTGGCAGATCGAGATCGAACCTGGCAGAGAGGGGGCCAATGTTTGGGGGAAAAATGCTATGGACACGTGGAGGACGCTCAGTGGTGTTCAAAAATAAGTAAAAGAATATTCTATGTCCACCTCGAACCTGTCGAGGGGACCGAGTTCGTCCATGAAAAAGGCTAAGTGTAGAGGCCGAGGTTCGACCTGATTGGGGTTCGATCTACTTGGAACCCGACAGGTTCGACATGAGAAAAGACAGATAACCGCCGGTCGTGAGTACTGTCGGACCCACCACCCATAAATAGAGGGTCTCATTTCATGCTCAGGTATCGAATCTCACATCAAACCTAATATTGAGTTCGACCTATACTGACTTGAGCGTCGGAGAGTTTGCCCTCTTGTGCAGGTTCACTCCTGAGTTCAGGTCGAGCCGGAGAATGGGTTCGAGCCTGGTTTGTTAAACGGTGCTGTGCGATCCTCTGCATAAACAGTACCATAGTTTGACTTTTATGCAGAAATGTCATGTGTATGTTCTACTTTAAGAATATGTAATTCTTTTTGGCAAATAATAATGGGAAAATGGTCAAAATCATGGTCAAACAGGCTTACCGACACATGTTTCTACAGTAAAAAGTCAACCCTAACAATCTGTCTTGGAATTTGTTGATTCGTTCGTTCTGGGTCCTACCTTAGAAATTATCGATTTGCTTTTCCCTCGGGCTACCTCAAGTAGGGGCAGCCCCCGAGTCGTATGGCATTCGTCGTCAGAGAGTTGTCATCAGCCTTTATAATCCATGTCGATTTATTTCTCCCAAGATCTCCTTGGATCCGAGCAATTCTCGTTCAATTCGTTATCAATCATTTCACTTTTAGATCTTAATCATTCCCACAGACAGCGTCAATTGTTGATGCAAAAATTTGGCCTCCGTAGATTTTGCCAAGTTCACACCAATCTTCTATGTTGGAGGCGAATCCTAGCCTGCCACGTGTCATGATTGAAAAGGTGGATTGGATGAACGCGCAGACGAAACATGGAAATTGACTCCGAATTACTCAGGTCGGAGGATAGGGTAGGACCTATAGTGTCGAGCCGAGGTGAGATGGAGTCCGTAACAATGTCTCTTCCGTACCCGACAACACGCCGCGATTTTATGGTGTGTTAGAATTCCTGTCGGGCCCAGTTTCTATAAATAGAAACTCTTGCCTTAAATGCAAGGTACGCAATCTTAAGTAGACTCGGCAAGTTAGCTCGGACTAGAACTAACTTGCCCGTCGGAGTGCTAACTTTGTTTTGCAGGTCTCAGGAACTGTTCAATGGAGGTGCGGGACTGTTGGCTATAGCTCGTCCTGAGAACACCGATCTAAATCGTGTCCGAGCTCAATCAATTTCGGGCTCAAACATTCTAGAATTAAAGGGATCAACGAGACCTGCAAAATAGAAAAGCACTAAAAACCGATGTGGCTCTTGCCACATTTTTTCTCGTATTTCTGCTAACCATAAACATTGACTTCTCATAATTGATCAACTGTCCCCAGATGCTTTCTCATAAGAAGACAAAATTATTTTTATCGTTTGGTAGTCTCTTGTTATTGCTTTAAAGAAAAGTAAGCTAATATCTGCAAAAAGAGATGCGTTATGGATGGACAATAACTATTAATTCGTAAGTCATAAAAGTTATGTAAGAGTTCTCCCCTGTTGAACATAGCCGAGAGACCTTCTTCACAAATTAGGAACAAATAAGAAGACAATGAACCATATAATTTAAATTTCAAATATAAATATAATGTTGTAACCATTACAATTTTTTTTTATAACCATAAATCATGAATGTACAATCAATTTGTAACTTCCCATATAAATTATTTTAAGAAATTCAATTTGTAACTTCCACATTAACAATTATTATTATCATGATAAAAAAATAATGATTTAATTAAATTCAATTATTACCACACTTTATTGTCCACCAGTATAAATGAATTTTCAATTCTACTTCTCCAAATGTTTCAATTCTACTAAAGTTTTATTAAGAAACACATTCTTCCATCCAACCATAAGGTACATAATCTTCATCTCTTTTATTTTCTTTTGAAAGTTTTTTTTTTTTTTTGAGATTAGTTACGTTTGATTCAAATGCTAAAAAAATTTGGATTTGAATTTCAGATATAATTTCCTTTTAACAACATGGTAGGAAAAAAAACCAAAAGTGATATATCATTATCATATCTAAGAAGTTCATGTTTAGATATCTAATATATTTAAAATTATAAAACAATTCTGAGGTCATATACATATTGTTACAAATCAAATTTAATCATAAAATACCAAAAAAAAAAGTTACATAATAGAAGAAAATATTTTTTTATTTTAATTACAAACCGTAGGAAATTGAATTACAAAATGTGTAAGAATCTTCAAACCCACAAAGTGAGGATTACTTTTTTTATTATTTATAAGCATGCGTAGTATTTTAGAATTGCAAATATACTTTACTTTTGTTGTATAAAATATAATCTCTATTTATGAAAAATACGTAAAGGTAGATAAATATTCTTCATCAAATACTGAAATAAATCTATAAGTACTCAAACAAAACTACAGTTATATATTATTCTATTTATTTTATTTCCATATTTGGTTCTCAGATTTTTATTATAAAAATTACCCTAGATTGTGTATATTCTATATAAATAAAACAGGACAAAAGAAAAAACAAAAATTACCTATATGAAACAAGTACATACTTCTTCCTCACAAATTCCCAAACAAGTTGAAAACTAAAATTGCATATTTTAATTTATTATATTCATTCAAATAAAACTTAAGTTATGTTATGTATTATTCTATTTATTTTATTTCCATATTTGGTTGATGATTTTTTATTTTAAAAGTTACCCTTAAAATGTGTGTATAATTTTAGAAATAAAATAGTATGAAATAAAAGGAAACAACAAAAATTAACTATATGAAACAAGTAGACACTTCTTCCACACAAACTCCCAAATAGCGATGTTCATGGGACGGGGCGGGGATGGAGAGGCCTCCCATTTAATTCCCCATCCCCACGAAATTTGCGGGGATTGGGGTGGGGATTCCCCACAGGGAGTTCAAGGGGATCGGGTTCCCCACGGGGAATTTTTCCCTATTTCTTATTTTATGTTTTAAATTATTTGTCAATAAATATTTTTTTCTTAAAGAAAATTTATTTAGTTGCTTAATTTATAAGGTCTAATTCTCTCAAATATATATATTAGGTGGTTGGGTAGAGAACAATACATGATTTTTTTTACATATATATTTAAAGAGAATAATATAATTATTTTACTGTATATATATATATATATAATATTTAAAAAATGATCTAGGGCGGGGAATTCCCCATCCCCATCCCCATTTAGATAGTGGGGAAAATTTTTCCCCATCCCCACCCCGTAGGGAATTTAAACGGGGATTTCCCACCCCATTTAGGCGGGTCCCCGCGGAGACTAATTTAAACAGGGATTTCCCACCCCATTTAGGCGGGTCCCCGTCCACGGGGACCCGTGGGGAAAATGAACCTCCCTGCCCCAAACAAGTAAAAAAGTAAAATTGCATATTATATTTTAGTTTATTACGGTCATTCAAATTGCATATTTTAACTTATTATATTCATTCAAATTAAGTCTTACATAAACTTGAAACTTCTCAAGTGTTTGATTCATAAATATTAGAAGAAAACTGTATGTATATGAACTTTTTTTTTTTAGTGCGTGCGACTTATTATATTTTGAATACGTAAATAAAGATATCAAAACATTCAAAAATTATAACAAATTTGTTAAAATAATACTTTAATATTGTAAACTATTGAAATATCATACAAACATACATCTCCCTTCAAAATATTGATCGCAGCAGTTACCCAGACCATGTAGAAAATTATTATCTTAAAATGAAACATTTAAAATGTCATTAAACAAATATAAAAGAGATTTAAAAAATAAATGAAGAGTGAGGAAGATAGATAGTACTTTTTCCCTTTCTAAAAAATATATTTGGATAATTATACTCTTATTTTTTGATTAATTACAAATAGTTCTTTTCCTACGCTGCCGGCCAATGCCCTTAATTACAATTAAATTTTTTTAGTACATTAACTATAATGAATTGTATTTTTATAATTCGACATTAATTACAGTGACCTTTCAATTTATTTTATGTTATTAATAGGTTAGGTTAAAATTCCAATTGTTATCAAAGAGGGAAAAAAAATTATAAACATTCAAAATCTAAACCAAATTTTATAAAATAACAAAATAAGAATATTTGTAAACTTACCTATGTAAATATAGTCTCCCTTAAAAATATTGGTGGCGGTTTGCCCACATTGAAAATAATTATCTTGAAATAAAACATTTAAAATGTCATTAATTATAATAATAGACATTAAAAAGGTAATGCAGTCTCAATGAACAAAAACATTCAACGTATAAAGAACAAAATGGTTAATGCACGATTAATGTACCTTTAACGGTGCTTAAGGAAGACAGCTTGGTAGCAGCAGTGGAGCCCACATAGAGAAAGAAGAGAAAGGGGAAAGCACGAATTGTTTGAGAAAATAATGGTAGAGAAAGAAAGTGGAAAAGAACCTGAAGGGACAAATTCTTGAGAAAAGAATGGTAAAGAGTAAAGGAGGACTGAAAGAGGATAATGCAAAAATTAAGGCAACACTAGAGTAATGAAGAAATATAAATATATTTGTAAAATAAAAAACCCTAATGGAGGCCGGTGATTCGAACAATGCTTGCAACGATCAAAGTCTTGAAAATTTTCCACAGGGGTGCACAAAAAATCTAGGCCAGTGGGGCAAGATGTTCAATAAAAATTTTCAGCAACAGATACACCGAATTCGTTCGACCTTATCGAACATCTATTTTAGCCCTTCTCCTTGGGATTTTAATCTTATCCAAAGGTGGGAAAAGGAATTGGATAATTTGTTGGAAATAGAGGAGATTTTCTGAAAGCAACGTTCACGTGAAAGTTGGCTAAAGTGGGGATAGAAATACTAAATGGTTTCACAAGCGGGCAACTATGAGAAGACAAAAAAACTTGATTCGGGGTATCACACTTGAAAACAATGAATGGATAGAGGATATGACTCTGGTTGAAAATTGCTTCATAAATTATTTTGTTGAGCTTTTTTCCTCTTCTGATCCTACCGATGAAAACATGTACAAAATTTTGCAACATATCCCCCAGATGGTTACAGCTGAGATGAATAAGAGGTTGCTCGCTCCTTTTAAAAGATCGGAGGTTGAATGTGCTCTGAAACAAATGCACCCAACTAAAGCACTGGGCCGGATGGTTTACCCGCCCTCTTTTATCAACGTTACTGGAAGATTGTGGGGAATAAAACTCTGGCAAATTGTCTCGATATTTTGAATGGGCGGAAGTCAGTAAGGGAATGGAACTCAACTCTTATTGCTCTTATTCCAAAAACAATAGGCACGCTTGGTGTCTGAATACCGTCCAATCAGCCTTTGTAATGTCTCTTACAAGATAA